TTATTGTAGGGCAACAGAGCTATTTATACATTTTGCACAGCTTATCTTAATTAGCATAAACTAGATACATCAATCAACCAATAAGGAATCTCCACACTTAATGGCTCGCTTTTGTTACTTCTCAAACCACTCCCTCTGACATTTTGCCAGGCACCATCCAAACTTGTTTACGAACTCTAACATTTCTCTGGCAAAATACCAGGTGTTATTTTTGACTTATTTACAGACCTTAACAGTGCGTGGTGGGAACATGAAGAGGAGGGAATAATTCTATAAAATGGGCATGTGCTGATCCCCACATGCTTTCACATTTTAAAAAATATTTTTAATTGTAGATGGATACCATATATTTATTTATTTATTTATTTATTTATTTATTTATTTATTATTTTATGTGGTGCAGAGGATCAAACCCAGGGCCTCACACATGCTAGGCAAGCTCTCTACCACCTAGCCACAACCCGGCCCTATGTGCTTTCACTTTTTCCCCCACTTTTCTATTTTCTTGATATCTGCTCTTCATTATTGTATTAGCTTTGCTTTCTAAGGATTAATTATTTACCTGCATCCCTGCCTGGCTTAAGTCCATAGAATGTGACATTTCTCAGCCAACTACCTGTTATCTGCATGAGAAACGCAGCCCTGAAATACCCATAAGAAGAACACAAGTTACTCTGCATGAGTGGAATTTTGTGACCCTTACACAGACCACATCCCAGAATTTTGGGAGATAAGGATAATTTCCCCTATCATAAAATCTGAAAGGACAGGTTCCAATTAGAACCAGGCAGTGTGGGCCCAAGTGACTTAGAGTTGTCATGGCAGCAGGAACTTGAAAGTCTGATGTCATCCTGCTGTCCATCGAAAGTCAAGAGGTGAACATAGGTAGGACTCTTTGGAAACGTCCCTGGGACCTCCAATAAAACTGGAGGGCAGGAGAAGCATGCCAATTCTTTCCTCTCTGAGACGACTCACTGTCTCCCTTGATAGTGTCCCCTTTCCTCTCTTTCCATACTTTCCAATAAACTTAAGCCGGTGACTCTGAGTGACATGTCTGAAATTTTTCTGGCATGCTTGCAAAAATTGGGGTTTGAAGTGGGGGCATTTATTATTCCTCAGTTTCATGAAAAGCCCAGCTCTGCGAACCTTGATCACATTTAATTCATTTTTTTTCTGTCTTTTTTAAAAATATTTTTTATTTTTCAGTTTTCGGTGGACACAACATCTTTATTTTATTCTATGTGGTGCTGAGGATCGAACCCAGCGCCCCGCGCATGCCAGGCAAGCACGTTACCACTTGAGCCACATCCCCAGCCTTTTTTTTTTTTTCTGTCTTATGTTTTGGAATTTTTACTTTCTATTTCTATTCCAATTCATTTCTACTCAAAGCCAAGAAACCCACAAGTGAAGATTGACAAAACTAAAGTGAGTCCTCAGACAGTAAAAATGAACCAGGTCAATCTACCAGATATATGGTGGGAATTTCCATGGCTTAAGAAAACATTTTGAGCAGAATCCACTAAGGTGAAAAATCCTGGAATACTTCATTTGTGAAACTTCAGGGTCTATCTGCAGGGAACACTTAGGGACATGTTCCAGAAAAAGCTAAGGGATGAGAGTATGCTTTCAGACTCTGCTGCAAAGTCCCTATGCCTAATCTTTCCATCTGAGTTCAAGTAATCTACTTTTCCATCTCTATGCTYTCTGACCCTTGGCTCCTGAGAAAAGGGAAGAGATAAATGTTTGAAGACAGATCTTGGGATGTGGGCTGAGAGTGATGCTTATCATGACTTGTGAGCTCTGGGTAGCATCAAAGGTGGCTGGACATCCCTCTTCCTGGCAGTTACATCAGCTGGTACAGGCTGTCTGACAGTAGGTGCTGACTGCTAAGGCTCCCTGTCAGTGGGAACAGTGAACAGGACATATTTTTCCAGGAACCAGATATTGAGAATTAGTCTATTACATGTAAGTTCATGCAATTAAATAGAAATTTGTGGGCTTATTGTGCCAGCAGTTTGAGATCATACTGTGTAAGCTAAATGAGTCAAAAGTGACCCATAGTTGCCTCAAGACTGGGAATCGGTGCAGTGGGGCTGTTGTAGAAATCAGGCTTTGATGGGGAGGGGAAGTTAGGGAGTTATAAGGTCCCATGAAGCTTTGGGGGTGCCAGCCAGACCCAGAGAGGCCACAAGAGCCCTGGGATGACACTGGTATACGTTACGAGATGCTGACTCCTTTCACAGATATAACATGCTCCCTGGAGGTGAATGCCCTGATTCATCCTGGGTTGGGCTCCTGGGCTGGCTGCTTTTACATCCAGGCCAGTGACTGGGGACATCGGTGCCTCCATTTTATTAACTGCTTTCAACCATTAAGGTTTGGAAAAGATGGAAATCGAGGAAGAAGAATGTCCAAGTGGAGAATTCTGGAAGATGGCGGTGCCTGATGGAGCCAGCTGATGGGGAAGGCATGCTGGGCCACCTGAGGCTCAGGCCATGAAGAATGTGTTGGGAAACCTGTGGCAATGGAGTCTCCTTCCATGTGTGGCCTGGGTGACCTCAGGGTCATCAGCACCTTGATGAACTCAACATCACCATGCAGCGCTCCCAGGAGACAGTGCTGTGGATGACAGTGGGAGGGGGTGACCCTAGGCGCCCCATACATGCTCTGAAAAACTGGGATCTTGCCAATTTTGATCAGTTATGAGGAGTGACCAGTCATCACCAGGTCAGCCAGGAAAGCCAAGGCGTTATTGAAGGGCTAACGCAGCTAGAAGGACATGGTGGTGTATAATCAGAGGCACTGTGCCCTGCCTGGGAAGTGGGGTACTGGAGGGCACGTGAGCTCAGATTTCATTACCCATGGTGCTGGAATTTTCCCTTGGTTAAGTATATATTATGCAATTTAATTCCTAGCACATCTCTGTTGTCTTATTTACAAATAGTGTCTGTATATAATGTTGTCTTATTTACAAGTAAAACCAAAAGTTAAAAAAAAAGCCACTGTTCCAAGCTAGCATGCTGTATCTGCTTCAGAACTAATTAATTTAGATTGATCTGACTTCAGAGTTCCTATCTGCCCCACTAAACTTCTCTGGGTGTTGTTTTTCCTTTCTTTTAAAATCAAGGAGGCTGGCAAGACCAGGGTTTCTTAATCTTGTTTAGATCCCCTTAACTTTATTCCTAATTTTAGTTTGTTCTTACTCTCATGAATTTTGTCTTACTCATTTTTCATTTGTGGTGTTATTTACATGAAGGTTTTCCTTATGAAGTTTCATTTTTAATTTATTCTTATTGTGGTAAAATCTGCATAACATAAAGTTTACCATGCTAAACTCCCCCCCCCCCTTGGTTGTGCTGGGGATAACCCAGGGCCTTGAGCATGCAAGGCAAGTGCTATTCTCTTGAGCTACACCCTCAGACCCTAAACTAACCATTTTTAAGCTTGGTTTGGTGGCATTAAGTTCATTCACTTTGCTATGCAGCACTTTCTGTTTTTAATGTAGATGTGTTTTGGAAAGGCAAACTTGAGATCACTATAAATAGAAACTAGAATTTCTTCCCATAATCAAAGGTAACCATTAGAATAAATACAGTGAAGGAAGAAAGTCATTAACTTGCAGCTGATTCCTGCTGACACTGAAGATTGTGAGATGAGGCCTGCTCCCTCTCAACCCAGCCCCCATATTCCTTTTAAAAGAAGGGCATCAAGCCTTGGGGAAGTGGTAAAAATATGCTCACACCTAATTGACACTTCATCTATGACATACCCCAAATTGAAAGAAGTGTGAAAAATGTGAAAGAGTCATTTCTCACTGTGAACTTGACATTATCTCACGCTGTGCCCAGGTATCTCCTCACACCTTGCCTATCACAGAAAACCCTCTTGGCCCACACCCATAGACCACGGGAACTGCTTAGATGTACACAGGGCTCCTGTCCACCAAGGCTCCATGACGTCTGATTTTGAACAAGGGGATCTGATGGCCTTTTCTGATTTGGATCCCTGATGAGGAGCATCATTTGGGCAAAGTCCTTTAATATCTCTTCCCCATTTTTTTCCAAGAGTTACAGAAACCATCCCTTGATATCTATAGGGAATTGGATCCAGGATGTCCACACTCCCTTACCACTGAATACTAAAGTCCACAGATGATAAAATATCTTATATAAAATGATAATAATATCATGTAACCTAAGCACATCATCCCATATAGTTTAAATCATTCTCTGATTACTTTTAATATGGTACAGAGTGATGCTATGCACATAGTTATATAGTCTTGTTTTCAGAATGATGGCAAAAACATTGTATATGCAATTTTTTTCTGAATATTTTTGATCCACAGTGGTTGAATCCATGGATGCAGATCCCATGGATACAAAGAACTGGCCATGCCTACCACAAAGATTAGATGCTGCATCCTGCAAGCCAATGCCTTGGTGACAGAGCATTTCATCACAATGTTTGCAAGGTCCACTGTGATAAGGCCATGTGTGGTACTGAAGCTACTAATTGCTCTGAATGGGTGAATTTATCACAATTTGGGTGGAAAAGCCAACACTTTAAGCACCTGAGGTGGGTCTTACAGGGCTGGTGAGAAAAAGATGGCTGACATAAGACAGAGACAGCAGACACACGGCTTCACGTGAGCCAAGTTCTAGTTTGGAGCTAGGTTGACTGTACCCATTCCCTGGACGGTAGGAGTAACAAAATATGTGCATGTGCATCCTTGGAAGCACTAAGGGGATGAACACAGGAAGAGTCATTTTCTTAAGCTGGACAGGGATGCTCTCTGTCAACATCATGTGGAAGCATTTTCGTTATCAAAGCTGTGGGTGCATTTCATTAAGCCAGGAGCACGGAGGGTAAGAATAAAACTTGGGTGCTGAGGGCTGGAAGCCGGAAAAGTTCCCTGCCTTTTCCCTCTCCTGGGCAGAGCTAACTGTCCCTCGGAGCCCCAGCATGCTACCCACAGAAGATAGGACATGACTTCTCACCTGGGGCTTGGTCTCATCTTTGTCTTTGTAATAGAAAAGCTGATTCCCACGCAACACAAACCAGCGCTGTTGCCAGTTTTTCATGATGCTCCTCTGCTTCCTCAGCCAGCCTGCCTTCAGCACAGGGCCCAACCTGCAGGGTCCTGGCGGCCGCCCTGGGCTGCGGCTCTGCTCCCCCATCACCAGGCTCTTGGAGCGGGCTGGAAGTCAAGAACACACACAGTGAGTACAGAGCCTGGTGTGCCTCTGGTCAGTACTCAGCACATCCTGGTATCCCAGCTGATCTTGGACCAAGGCTTGCAAGCCCAGGACAGTAGGACATGAGCATTGCAGGCCCAATTCCCTGTTGGGTTCCAAGGGCATACATAGGCTGGAGGACTTCAGCCGCAGCAGTAGCCGCCCAAGGTTATCCACTTGGGATAGGTGGCACAGTCTGCCTGCCGGATTCATTTTTGCTCTGTTCCTGGAAACCTAGATTCTCCATTTCTCCAGGTTTCTTCATCCAAACCTCCATCCATGTATCCATGCATCCATCCATCAATGTCTACATGTAACTGTCCACTCATCTATTCATTCCATGACTCATTCCTTTTCATTCAGTCACTATTTATTAAGTGCAGACTCTGTGCCAAGATCTGTTCTAGTTATGAGGATAAAGTAGTGAAATTTAAAAAAGAGATAAAAATCTGGTTTCTCCTGGAGGTTACATTTTAGCCAGGTTTCTGTTACTCAGGGGCAGTGGGAGCTGGCTCCATCCAGACCCTACCCCAGTGTCTGTTTGAAGCCCCCTCTTCTGGAGGCATCAGGCTTGAGCACCACTGCCCAGATTCCCCAAAGCCACTCTGCTGCTTCCCTGGAACCATTGTGCAGGGCCTGGATGGTGGGACCTTCTTTCAGCAATTTGTTGTGATTTTGATGGTGGCTCCTTGACAGAACAAGGGGGGCAATGACTACTATGTTGCAGCTTTCTGGGTGCCTGCAAACCCTCTTTTCCCCAGCTGACATCACTGACCAGCACTCTGCAGGGCTGGTACTGCCCTTGGCAGTGATGAATTCAGATTCTTGTCTCCTCCATCTGCATCTCTCTGTTTGTATACTTCCCCTCCTCTCTCCTTGGTCTTTGGGGGAAACTTTTCTCTCCTTGGCCAGAATCAAGCATATTATTGCAGTATTTACTAGGAGAGGACATGCTGGACTTTGGAGGAACAATTCTGAGTCCAAATGTAATCATAACTGCAATTCGTGGTCCATGGATCCTAACTTCTGATAGGAACACATGGTCCCTGCAATCCACAGTTTTTGCCCTGTGCCTACGATTTTTTTTTGTGTGTGTATGTGTGTGTATACACATGTGCACGTGTGTATGTGTGTGTGTATACACATGTGCATGTGCATATAAGTTCCTCCTCTTATACTTGTGACCACAGTTCCCTAAGTCTGGCCTACCTTCTGCCCACCCTGTCTCACTAGCCTAGATTTTTCTGCCATCCTCCCCCATTAAATCCCCAGGTTTGGCTGCATGGTGAGCTCACACTCAGCCTTCAAAATCCAACTCAGATGACACCTCTGCCGTGGAATCTTCCTCATGAATCTTTTCCAGGCAGACATTCCCTCCTTTACAGGACATATCTAGCCTGTGGCTGGGACTCATCTATATGGTGGCCTTTCTGTCCCTTCAGCCTTCAGGGGTGGGCAAACAGGAAATAGGATCTTATCCAATTCTGTATGTGTGGTCCTCATCACTGTGGGGCCAAGGGATGGACATAAGTCATGGTAGTTAAACACAGGATACTTAGAGTTAGCCTTAATGATCTGAATCTCAACATGGTATTAAACATAACATGACAGCCAGCTCTTGTCTTATAGCATATAGCCTGGTGGTTCCCAGTTTTATCTGCAATCTTATAGTGGGGAATACTATCTTGAAACTAGCACATTTGCATGAACAACAACAACAAAATGATGAGACCATCCCATAAACCTTGGCTCTAGAAGGGTTCAGCATCAGGATCACCTCTTGTTTCTGGTATCCAAGTAGCTATGCCAGCTCCATGGGTATCCTTGCACACTGAAGGGGACTGGCTGTCCTTCAGGGGAGTGGGGTTTTTCCAGAGACTAAAGGGAGGGACTCCAGAGGAGTCCAGTGGAGGTTGCTCCTTCCAGGAACTCAGTCTCACCTCTGAAGCCCAGCAACACCCTGACCAGGGTTGAGCTTCACACGTTCTTGCATTTCAGACTGATCTGCAGTTTTGTTCCCAACCTTGCTGCTGGGCCTGGTCCCCATGTTCTTGAGGCAGAATTATCATGCACACTCTCCTGAGTCCTAATAGCTGTTTATGCTCCCTGTATGCAATCTGATGCCCCACCATATGTTACCAAAAGTTTCCAGCATTGCTGAGCATTCACATTCTTTCTGTTAATTATTTAATTAAAGAAACAAAGGGGCCCAGTTGAAGAAATACAGGCTTTGGACAAAGGCTTGTGTTGGGATCACTGCCAGCTCTGTGAACTCTGTGTTTTGGTCTGCAGATCAGCAAATTGGGCCCATTTATGATGACGGTCCGTCACCCAGCAGGGCAAGTTGGAGGAGGGGAGACAGCCCACCTGGCAGAGTGCTTGGCACGTCTGAGGGACCCAGTGACTAGTTACTGGAGTGATGATAGTTATGATAATGGAAATCGTGGACATCCCCATGAAGAATCTGTTTCCTGAAGCTGGGCGAAAAGATGAATCTTCTTACAGTCCTGGATAGGCTGCCCTTTCATTTCCAAGTATCACAGCATCTTGCCCAGCATCTCTGCCCTGCAAGCTCAGCATCCTTGCCAAGGAGGACCCAGAATTGGAAGAAACACTCGGCCTGGGTGAGGCTGGGCTGCAGCACAGATGAGGCAGGTAGGGATTGTGAGACCCAATAACATCAGGCCTCAGGAGGGGCCTTTCTGCTCCCAGGGCTGCGCCCTCATCTGATCTTTTATCCTGTCTCCCTCTGGCAAGGAGTAGAAGCAGGCTGTACCCAACAGACACTTGCTGATCCCCTTCCAGAGCTGGGGACGCTTAACCCTGGGGGCCATGGAGATGATGCCCATGAAAAGAAGAGGGCTATCATGACCCCAGTATTCTGGTGCAGCCTGGCAGAACATTGAGGAGGACAGACAGATATGTCCTAGGGTAACTGAGTTTGCTTGTCTGGGTCTCAATTTTCCCATGTCTCAAATTCTTTTAGTGGGTTAAGAATTGATAGTCACCAGCGCTTGGGCCTTTATCTTTTTAATTGCTTCAGATTTCTAAATTGAGACCTGGTAGGCAGCAGTGCCTCTGTGAGTGAGGATTTTCTGGTTATAGGTGAGTGGAGCTGGCTCAGGCTTCCACTGTCTATTCTTGAATTCTTTTTCCTTTTGTTGGGGAATTGGTAGGGTCTACTTAGACCCTTCTGTTCCTCCACAGATGTCTGTACAGCCTCTCTGGAGTCTTTAGTGGGGAATGAACCATGGAACATCTAGGGCCACTTTCCTGGTTCTATTTTTTTTTTTTAAACAGGGCCCAAAGCTGGCACATTCCACCAGAAATGCACCTGCTTTTCCTCCTATATCACCAGAGCATCCTGCACAGGGCAGGTGCACAGCAGAAACTCAACAAACTCTCTAGGACTCATTAGTGCAGCAGGACTCTCCTGAGTGCCACTGAGACTTCCACCTGAGCCCTGGGTCAGGTCTACAGAAATACTCTCTGTTTGGCTGTCCCAGGAAGGCTGAACTTTCTGGACATAGAACCATGGACACTGAGCCTGGCAGAGAGCAGGAGCCCAGCAACTTATGCAAGAATGACTGCATGGTCGATGACATGACTGGCCTGCAGGAGACTTCATGTGACAAGACAAAGAACAGAAGGAGGTGTTTCTATGCCCTGATTCCCAAACCCTGGGCACCAGCCCTCCTGAGAATTATAGGAAGGAGAGAGAAGGCATCAGGGAGCCTGTTCACTGGGGCAAGGGAACAAGGTGAGGTTATGTAGCTGGGCTCCATGTCAGCAGCTGTGCACTCTCTATTTCAGCACATGTGGGCAGCCCTGGGGGTCCTGCCGGTGGCACCCAAACCCCATGCTCTGCTCTTCCCTGGCCTTCCAGGAGGAGAAGAAAAGCCAGCTCCTGTGCCTTACAGCTTACCAGGGAGGCTCTTGTTTCCACATGGGAGGCCAGACCAGTGCAGGGTTCTCCCCAGGTGATCAATCACATGGATATTACTTATCAGGCTGACTGAACTTCTCAAAAGGAAAATAATCATTGTTATGATTTATTAATAACCATTGTTCCAGTCCTCAGCACTTCCTTTAATCAATTTATTTGGTTCTGTAAATATTTAAACCAGGCTTAAGTCAAACGGCTTTGACATGCTAAGTCTCCAGTACTAATTAGCGTTGAGGAGAAACCTGGGGAGCAGGCCCAGGGCAAGCTTTTGTCCCAGGGAGGAGAGGGGTGCCCTTGGCCCTCCTCCAAGACAAGGCTCATAAGCACAACATTCATGCATTCATTCCACACTGGTAGATGTCTGCCAGATGCAGTGTAGAATTTTAAGTTGATGTTTCCTTGAGGACCCCCTCGTCTGGCAGGGGAAATAAGTCACAASCATGCAGGAATGAAAGGTCCAAGGTCATGTGAGACAGGCAAAGGGTTCAGACACTGAAAAGAAGGCACAGATCTCTGCAGAGTCATTCGGAGGTGGGGAACCCATGAAATTCTTGAGGGATGACCAGAATGTGGGCCGACCTCAGGGCAGATCCGACTCTGGTTTTTAGGGAGGAAGGAAGGAGCATGGCATTTGCTATCCCTTGGCACAGTTTGTGTGTTAGGTGGACACTGTCACCTCCTCTTGCTGACAAGCATGTATGGATGGGGGGAGACACGCAACTCCCTCTCCTTCCTCAACCCAAATAGTCTGGACCACGCAGAGTTTGTTCCTGCAAATCCCTCCCCTTTGACTCCTGACTTCATTAGTTTCCGAATCTGAAGACTCTTTCTCACTCTCCTTTCTTTTCACTTCCTTTTACTGAATCAATTCAAATATAACCCTCTCTGGCCTGGACTACTTCCTGACTCTTACCTCTTAGCTTCCACAGAAGTCTCCTAAAGAGCTATGGAGCTGCCAAGGAAATGCTCTGCATGAATCATTTCATTTAATCTGACAACAAGTGGTAATTCTTCTGT